TGTAATGCGGGCATCGAATTGTGCCTTGCTTTTGTAAGCCGCCCTGAGTCCCCCCCGGGGTGAGAAGGGCGGGGTAGAAGCAACCGAAATAAATAAATAAATAAATAATAAATAAATTAAAGTTACAAAAATGGAACTGTAGAGGAGAGTCTACTGAACAAGCCAGTACCTGCCGCATACCAGTACTGCCATCTGTTGAAGAGTTACGAAGGTGGAGGCATTACTTTTCATTCAACCCTCGTACCTATCAACTCTATGTTTCTATGATTCTGTCTCCGCACTCTAGTACCAACTTTGAAGTTTTGAAGTTTGGTTCTTGAACTCTGCTATATTTATGGTGGCATCACCCCAAGTCAGGTTTATTTTTGAGCCTAACAGCTCCGATTCCCAACACAACCTCTCTCTTTTGGGGTTAGGCCTCGGCACCTTGGATCTCTTAAAGTTCAGACTAAAACCCGGAGCAGTTTTAATGGTTTGCCAATGGGGAAGCGACTTGCAGTCACTGGCATCTATCTTTTCCCAACTGTCAGGCTTTCCAAACCTTCCAACCCATTGCTTCTGAGCGCGACGGAGGAAAGAACACCCATTGCAACCTTGGCTCAGTTTGGTCACTTCATGTATTGTTTATTACGACATGTCAGAGATCGGCCCCCTGGCTCCCCAAAATGAAAAGAAAAGTCATGTGCACCCAATTCTACATATATTTAGCATTTCCTCCCACCTTTTGAGGTCATTTCTCTAGGGCTAGAAAGTGAATGGGACAGATAGAGACTTCTGCATTAGACCTGCAGTGCTTCCCATGGCCTCAAGGGGGAGCTGCTCCCTTTGTTTGGAACATCTTTCCAATGTTTTTAATCTGGCTGGAGTTGACCTCAGGTGACCCAACCCTGCTGGAAGTAGTGTGTTTATGTTTCTATATATAGATATAATACATACATATGGGTGCATATATATGTGTGTGTGTGTGTGTGCATCTGTGTGTATATATATGGATATGTATGTGTGTGTGTGTGTGTGTGTGTGTGTGTGTATATATATATATATATATATGTATGTATGTATGTATATCTGTGTGTGAGGTATATATATACACACGTATATGTGTGTATATGTATATATGTCTGTCTTCTATGTGTGTGGTGTATATATATATATACACCACACTGTATATGTATATATGTATATATGTATGTATATCTATGTGTGTGATGTATATATACACACGCTGTATATGCGTATATATGTATGTATATCTATGTGTTTGTTTATATATACACACGCTGTATATATGTATGTATATCTATGTGTGTGGTGCATATATACATACACACGCTGTATATGTGGTTATATGTATGTATATCTATGTGTGTGATGTATATACACACACACACTGTATATGTGTGTATATATACATCACACACCTATATACATATACATGTGTATATATGTATGTATATCTATGTGTGTGGTGTATATGTACACACACACTGTATATGTGTATATATGTATGTATATCTATGTGTGTGGTGTATATATATATACACACGCTGTATATGCGTATATATGTATGCATATCTATGTGTGTGGTGTATATATATATACACATGCTGTATATGTTTATATATATATGTATATCTATGTGTGTGGTGTATATATACACACACGCTGTATATGTGGTTATATGTATGTATATCTATGTGTGTTGTGTATATATACACACAGGCTGTATATGTGTATATATGTATATATATCTATGTGTGAGATGTATATACACACACACGCTGTATATGTGTATATATGTATATATATCTATGTGTGTGATGTATATATATACACACACACACACGCTGTATATGTGTACATATGTATGTATATGTATGTGGTGTATATACATACACACACTGTATATGTGTATATATGTATGTATATCTATGTGTGTGGCATGTGTATACACACACACACACACACATGCTGTATATGTGGTTATATGTATGCAAATTTATGTGTGTGGTGTATATATACACACACAGCGGCGAATCCAAAGCAATGGGTTGTGTAAAATGGGACACTGGGCACACAAAAGGGAAGCAGTTTTGGGGGACACCCAACTTTCCCCACTGCCCCAAGGCTTCCTGTGACCCTGAGGGCGCTTCTGAGCATTATAATTACTATTATTATTGCTTTAAGAAGAGATGGCTCGCTTTCCCTAGAGGAGATGAACATGGATCCCCCCAAAAAAGGGAATAAAATAAATAGAAAGAAGGGACTAAATGAGAACCAAGTTTGTATCTAAAATATTATCCAAAGCCAAATATATCAGGAATCACACAGAATGGAAGGAATGACACATATTCCTTACTTCTGGTCATTTCCCCCCACTCTTAAACCATTTGTTAGATGGATTGTATTACAACCACCATCATCCCCAACCAGGATGACTCCAAAGCAGGGGATGCTAGGATTTGGAGAATTTTTTTTCTTTGGTTGCTAGGGACGGGACACCAAATCACGTCCATATTTATCCCCAAAGGGAAGGGCAAACATTTACAGAGATAAAGGCTGCTTCTTTTGTTGGGACTCTCGTCTCCAGAATCCCCCAGCCCAGTATGACCAATGGGAGGTGCAATCCAAACAATCACTTTTCCAACCGAGTCGAAGCCTAAGTAAGTCCTTTCTGCTCAACCCACCCTCTCACTTCAGCTTGTTTGACGTACTGGGTGTTCCCAAAAGTCTCCATACATAGGAACAAACTCATTATATTATACTAGCTGTCCCCTGKCACWCATTGCTGTGGCCCAGTCTGTGTATATGTGTTTGGTGAGTGAGTATATGTGTGTGTGTGTGTGTGTGTGTATATTTGTGTTTATGCCTATATATGTGTATTTGCATATATATATATATATATATATATATATATATATATATATATAGGTGTATATATSTGTGTATGTGTATATAATTGTGTGTATATATTTATTTGTGTGTTTATATGTGTATATGCATATTGTGTATATGTGTGTGCTTGCTATATGCATTTTTGTGTGTGTYTATATATGTATATGTATGTGTATATGTATATGTGTGTGCTTGCTATATSCATTTTTGTGTGTGTGTATATATGTATATMTGTGTGCATATGTATATGTATGTGTATATTTGTGTGTGCTTYTGCATATATATGTGGGTGTATATATGTGTGTGTGTATATATTTGTGTATTTGTATGTTTATATGTGTATATGCATATTGTGTATATGTGTACTTGCTATATGCATTTTTGTGTGTGTATATGTATATGCGTGTGCTTGTGTATATTTGTATGTATATATGTGTATGCATGTGCATGTGTATATGTATATATATATGTGTGCATATGTATATGTGCGTATATATGTATATTTGTGTGTGCATATGTATATGTATGTGTATATTTGTGTGTGCTTGTGCATATATATGTGGGTGTATATATGAGTGTATGTGTATATATTTGTGTGTATATATTTGTATATTTGTGTGTTTATATGTATAAATGCATATTGTGTATATATGTACTTCTTATATGCATTTTTGTGTGTGTATATGTATATGCGTGTGCATGTGTATATGTGTATGTGTGTGCATGTATGTGTGCATATGTATATATGTGTATATATGTATATTTGTGTGGGCATATGTATATGTATGTGTACATATGTGTATGTATATGAATGTGTATATTTGTATGTGCTTGTGCATATATATGTGTGTGTATGAATGTGTGCATCTGTATATGTAAATGAGTATATATGTATATGTATATATGGTGTATTTTGGGGTTTTTTAAGTCAGTTCTGCTGGGGGAGTTGGTGTTTTTAGAGGTGATGGACACACGTTGAACTGTCAGGTGTCTTGTGTCCAAATTTGGTGTCATTTCGTCAAGTGGTTTTTGAGTTATGTTAATCCCACAAACAAACATTACATTTTTATATAGATATATATTTTTTAATATTATGTATTTTTTACACTTTCAGATATACAACACACAGAGAATATTTTTATAAATATTTTGTAACTAAAGGTAGGTTTAGTTCCTCTTTCTCCTAGTTATGGTGACTGTTGGGGACACCTCGTTCTCCGATGGTGAATCCATAGGGCATCCCTAGTCTGAGCCCACATTAACCACCAAGGCCTTGGGATTTATAGCCCACTCCCTTGGATTATAGTTCCCAAAGGACTAAAGGTTCAATCAAGACGCTCCAAGGGGGTGATAGTACAACTCTTTACAAGACTCCCAACCTACAAATCCCAGGATGGCACCAAGGCACAGCTTAAAGTGGATTTAAACTGCTTTCATTGTGCAGTGTGGACTCACCCCTTTGTTTTGCCCTGCATCCCAGCCCAGCCTTGTGCTTTTAAATGTCTCGCAGGTGACCCTTCCTGCTTGCTAACTCGGGCCCTTGTGCTTATTGTAACTGGCACTGTTGCAAAACAAAACGGCGGGGGAAAAAAAAGATGGAAGGATGACACAAAACGATAGAGAAAAACCAAAAAACCAAATCGAAATGGAATAACCCATCGAGCACTGCAACAACGATGCCCCAAGGCTCTTCTTATGAGCAGTGTGTGCTTATCTTCCCACTTGACTCCTGCTTCCTCCTTGCTTTGGGTGCGTCTACACCAGGCATGGGCCAACTTGGGTCCTCCGGGTATTTTGGACTTCAACTCCCACAATTCCTAACAGCCAGTAGGGCTAAAGTTTGCCCTGCTCTAGGATCACATATCTACTTTCTTCACCCTTTCAGTGGACCGTGCTGTGAACACATGTCCATTAGAACTGTATTTCTTCACATTGGAGGTATATGCAATGCCTTTCTACTGTCCAAAACACCTGGAGGGCCGTTTTAGTGAACTGTGCTGAGAACACATGTCTATTAGAATTGTATTTCTTCACATTGGAGGCATATGCAATGCCTTTCTACTATCCAAAACACCTGGAGGGCCCTTTTAGTGAACTGTGCTGTCCATTAGAACTGTATTTCTTCACATTGGAGGTATAGGCAATGCCTTTCTACTGTCCAAAACAGTTGGGGGGCCCTTTTAGTGAACTGTGCTGTGAACACATGTCCATTAGAACTGTATTTCTTCACATTGGAGGTATAGGCAATGCCTTTCTACTGTCCAAAACAGCTGGGGGCCCCAAGTTGGCCCATGCCTGGTGTAGACGCACCCCTTATTACAGCGTGCCTGTCCCCACTTTGAAAAGAAAATTACCCCCCACCCCAAAATCAGACCTATTGATATGGGGAAAAACAGAGAGGCAAAAGCGGCCATAAGATCCCAGCCTTATAGCGGGTGGCGGTGCCTCTCACCCGCCGATCCCATAGCGGAGTGTTGCTCATGCCATATAGTTGTACTGTATAATCTAAGCAGCTGCTGTGGGGCAGAAGGGGCCCCAAACGCCCCACGCCATCCAGTGTTGGAAGTATACGGATATTTGGTTCATGCGCAAAAGCGGCTCCGAGGCGCCCAGCCCCACGGATCTAAGAGGCAGCGGCTGGCAGGGAGCGGGCGGAGTGCGGGCCAGGGGTGGGGGCTCACGGCAGCCTCCCCCCCCACACGGCAGAGCGATGGGATCTGCAGTCTGTCGGGACAAGAGCGTGCACAGCCCCGGGCGCCAACGTGTCCCTACGCCCGGGACTCCTTTTTGGCATTGGGCTTGTTGCCCAGGAGCGCGTCAATCTCCTGGATGACTTGCGGCGTCAGTTGGGACAGGACCTGCAAAGGGAGAAAGAAAAGAGACAGGGTTAAAGGGGGAAGGATAACGGATGCACCTTGGGGTGTGTCAACACTGTGGAATTAATGCCATTTGGAACCATATTGGATGCAACATACACATCATAATCACCATAATGATAATAATGATAATGCAACTTAGCACCATAATAGAAGTGGAATGCAATAATAATAATAATAATAATAATAATAATAAGAAGAAGAACTGGAAAAGCTGATACGATATGAGGATTTAAAGATCGAACTGCAAAGATTCTGGCACAAGCCAGTAAAGTTGGTCCCAGTGGTGATCGGCACACTGGGTGCAGTGCCTAAAGACCTTGGCCTGCACTTAAAAACAATTGGTGCTGACAAGATTACCATCTGCCAGCTGCAAAAGGCCACCCTACTGGAATCTGCACGCATTATTCGCTGATACATCACAAAGTCCTAGACACTTGGGAAGTGTCCGACATGTGGTCCAATACAACAGCCAGCAGAGTGATCTTGTTTGCTGTGTACCAGTTTTGTGGTGTATCAATAATAATGCAATTTAGCACCATGTTAAAAGCGGCATACAAATAATAATAGTAGTAATAATAATAATAATAATAATGCAGTTTAGCACCATGTTAAAAGCGGCATACTACTACTACTACTACTACTACTAATACTAATACTAATAATGCAGTTTAGAACCATATTAAAAGCAACATAATAATAATAATAATAATAATAATAATAATGTATAGCAGAATATTAAAAGCAGCATACAAATAATAATAATAATGCAGTTTAGCGCCATGTTAAATGGCATAGGTAAAGGTAGTCCCCTGACATTAAGTCCAGTCATGTCCGACTCTGGGGTGTGGTGCTCATCTCCATTTCTAAGCCGAAGAGCCAGCGTTGTCCGTAGACACCTCCAAGGTCATGTGGCCAGCATGACCGCATGGAGCGCCGTTACCTTCCCGCCGAAGCGGTACCTATTGATCTACTCACATTTGCATATTTTTGAACTGCTAGGTTGGCAGAAGGTTAAATGGCATACAAATAATAATAATAATAGTGTAGTATAGCAGCATAGTAAAAGCAGCATACAAATAATAATAATAATAATAATAATAATAATAATAATAATGCAGTTTAGCACCATGTTAAAATGGCATACAACTAATAATGATGATGAAGAAGATGCAGTGAAGCAGCATATTAAAAGCAGCATACAAATACTACTACTACTACTACTACTACTACTACTACTACTAATAATAATAATAATAATAATAAGCATGCCGCTTTTTCTCTCCACAGAGACTCAAAGCAACTACAGTGCTAAAAGCAATCTAACATATAAAACCTAAAGACTGTAAACATTAAAACAAAATTAAACCAAATGCTATTTAAAATAGATAAATAAAAATATAAAAGTACTCTGTTGTTGTTGTTATGATTATAATTATTATTTATGTGCTGCTTTTTCTCCTCACATGGACTCAAAGTGGCCAACAGTGCCAAAAGCAATACAACCTACACTATAAAACCTAAAGACTATAAACATTAAAACAGAATTATTCCAATATTAATACTGTCATGGGCCAACTTCGGCCCTCCAGGTCTTTTGGACTTTGAGTCCCAGAACTCCTAACAGTCTACCAGGAGTTGCAGTCTCCAAGTTGCACTTGGAGAGCCGAAGTTGGCCCGTGCCTGCCATAGAGTCACCCTCCATGTTGTCATTACAGAAACGGATCATGCCTACAGTTTGTATGATCGAGGAAAAAGGGAAGAGGTCTGGTGCTTGTGATCCTCACCTGAATCGAGCCCAAGTTCTCAATGAGCTGGTCAGCGCTGGAGACCCCAAGCAGGACGGAGCTGACCCCTTCGGAGCGGAGGCACCAGGCTTTGGGGATGTAAAAGGAGAGCGTTAAAGCTTTTCTCAAATTGCAATGCCTTCTTCTCAAATGCCCCATTCACTTCTATTGCTTGACTACCTCAATGAGAGCACCTAGAGCAGTGGTTCTCAACCTGGGGGTCGGGACCCCTGTGGGGCTCGCGAGGGGGTGTCAACCTGGGGGTCGGGACCCCTGTAGGGGTCGTGAGGGGGTGTCAGAGGGGTCACCATAGACCATCAGTAAACATAGTATTTTCTGTTGGTCATGGGGGTTCTGTGTGGAAAGTTTGGTCCAATTCTATCATTGGTGGGGTTCAGAATTCTATTTCATTGTGGGTGAACTATAAATCCCAACAACTACAACTCCCAAATGGCAAGGTCTATTTTCTCCAAACTTTACCAGTGTTCACATTTGGGCATATTGAGTATTTGTGCCAAGTTTGATCCAGATCCATCATTGCTTGAGTCCACAGTGTTCTCTGCAAGTAGGTGAACTACAACTCCAAAAACCTCAAGGTCAATGTCCACCAGACCTTCCCAGTATTTTCTCTTGGTCATGGGAATTCTGTGTGCCAAGTTTGATTCAATTCCATCATTGGTGGAGTTCAGAAGGCTCTTTGATTTTAGGTGAACTATAAATCCCAGCAACTCCAGCATTACCAAATGACAAAATCAATCACCCCAACCCCACCAGTATTCAGATTTTGGGCGTCTCGGGTATTTGTGCCAAATTGGCTCCAGTGACTGAAAATACATCCTGCATATCAGATATTTACATTACAATTCATAACAGTATCAAAATTACAGTTATGAAGTAGCAACGAAAATAACGTTATGGTTGGGGGTCACCACAACATGAGGACCTGTACTAAGGGGTTGTGACATTAGGAAGGTTGAGAACCACTGACCTAGAGCTTTCCAAACTGCTGGATATGTTGTGCCTCCATCCGTTTCGTGATTACAATATATGCATTGTCAATAACATACATACATATTAATATCATGTTAATACAGAGTTTATTTTATAATATAAGTTGTCACCGGATGTGTTGTGCACCCATCCATTTTGTTATTATAATATATACATATGTTGAAACGTAGTCATACATACATAAATACATATTAATATTAAGCCAAGGCAGAGTTTATGCATAGTATAGGTCAGGCATGGGCAAACTTGGGCCCTCCAGGTGTTTTGGACTTCAACTCCCACAATTCCTAACAGCCTCAGCTTCCTTCCTTTCCCTCCTCAGCTGTTTAAGCCCCACTTAACCAATTTTGTATTCTGCACAGTCAACAAGGGAAGCCCCATGTGTGCCCCATGGCAGCAGTCTAGCTTCATCACTTAAGTGGCTGAGGGGGAAAAGGAAAGGGCCTGGGGCTGTTAGAAATTGTGGGAGCTGAAGTCCAAAACACCTGAAAGACTGAAGTTTGCCCATGCCTGGTGTAGGTTGTCATCGGATATGTTGTGTACTTATCGATATTGGTATAATAATTTATATATGATTAATCATACATACATAAATAGAAGTCTTTTCCCCTGACATCAAGTCCAGTCATGTCCAAAATTGGGGTTGATGCTCATCTTCATTTCTAAGCCAAAGAGTCGGCGTTGTCCATAGACACCTCCAAGGTCATGTGGCCAGCATGACTGCATGGAGCACCTTTACCTTCCTACAGAAGCAGTACCTAAACATTTGCATGTTTTTGAACTGCTAGATTGGCAGAAGCTGGGGCTAACAGCAGGAGCTCACCCCGCTCCCCGGATTTGAACCGCCAGCCTTTTGGTCAGCAAGTTCAGCAGCTCAGCAGTTTAACCCACTGTGCCCCCATGGAGTTCAAGTGTCCTTATTCAAGCTGATGAGATACTATACATGGTCAGAGACTATGGTATAAAAACTCTGCTCACTGTGAGCAGGACTCTGCAGTGTTTTGGGGATCGGAACAAATTGTTTGCTTTGTAGACAGGCCACCAAGGGCCCTTAATACATACATTCATAAATACATATTAACATCAGTATTAATATCAAGTCAATATAGAGTTAATTAGGCCTATTTTTAGTAGTAACTCTCAAGCAACCGGAAACCACATTGAATCGGGAGCTCCCAATCTCCATAGGTGTTCATGGGTTAACTGAGAATCTCTTGTAGTATTATTGTGCTATGTAACACAAAGGTCCCCTGATGGTGCAGTAGGTTAAACCGCTGAGCTGCTGAACTTGCTGACCAAAACATCAGCGGTTCGAATCCAGGGAGTGAGCTCTCACTGTTAGGCCCAGCTTCTGTCACCCAGTCAAACCCCATTGTGCCAGGCAGGAAGATTAATTGGCATTCACGCCATTTGGAATAATCAAAACCTTTTTGTAAAGTATTGTCTTCCTGAGAAGGGCTAAAAACTCCTCTTTAGTGGTAAATATCCATCAATATTTACACAAAGCTAATTAGGTTCCTCAGTTGTTAGACTGATATACCTAGTTGTCTCTTTGAACTGTTAGGAACAAAGATGATGCCAATGCACAAAATAAATAGCAGATCTTCAGAAATGTTATTTCAGTTGCCCCAAAACATCTACTCTCCCATAAAATATATTTGGTATTACATCATGTTCTCAAGAAGGAGTGGGTTAAAGCACCGAGCTGCTGAACTTGCTGACCGAAAGGTCGCAGGTTCGAATCGGGGGACCGGCGTGAGCTCCCGCTGTTAGCCCCAGCTTCTGCCAACCTAGCAGTTTGAAAACATGCAAATGTGAGTAGATTAATAGGTACCGCTTCGGCGGGAAGGTAACAGCACTCCTTGCAGTCATGCTGGCCAAATGACCTAAGAGGTGTCTACGGACAACGCCGGCTCTTTGGCTTAGAAATGGAGATGAGCACCACCACCCACAACTAGACTTAAAGTGAAGGGGAAACCTTTGCCTTTATTTTACGTAATACGATTTTTGTTCCCGGGATATAAATGTCATTTCCTAATTGGTTCCATCATAAAAACATGGGGAAAGTTTATTAAATTGCAAAAACTTTGTCTTTGTGGGAGGGCACATTTTGCAATAGTTTTTCAATGGCTGTCTCATTGAGTCTCTCAACATAGTTTGTGGCATCCACAAAAGCAAAGTTTCTGGAGTTTAACAACTACTTTTGAAAGGGTCTTTGAGTGAAATTTGCAAATGCTAAGCAAGGGGCTTTGAATGAAATTAACAGCAAAAGAGAAATATACCCTTTCTCTGTAGAAAAAGAGCAACACGGAAGAAAATGTTTTTAAGAAACAAGATGTGACATGTAGAGGTCATACAAAAGTTCAAGCCTACATAGGAAGTTGTGTTGTGGTTAAGCAAAAGGTTGTGGTTAAGCGCAGAGTCTGCAGGTACAAGAAGGTACTTTCCATCAAAAGGTCAAGGGAGGGGGGCTGGAAAGAGAGTACTTTCCATGACCTATTACTTGAGTATAAAAGTCAGCAGAAACAGAGGAGGGGCGGCAGTCACTTGAAGGGTAGCATCTGTGTATGCTGCCAGGCTGTCCGTCTTCTTCATGAAGAAACTAAAATAAACCTTGTTTTTTGATCTTTTTTGGGACTGTCTCCTTCCTTACGTGTTCCCGTGATGTGGGGTTCAGCCTGAGTTTGAACTTGAACCTGATTCTCTGTTTGTTCCTCCTGATGCTAATGAAATATATTTACTGATTAGTGAGGAAGAAACTGCTGTAGGTTTGGAAAATGCCAATGTTCCTGAAATTAGTGAGGAAGGAACTTCTGTAGATTTGGAAAATGAAAGTACCAGTGTTCATGAGAATGTTTCAGAGGGAAACCATGACCTTTCACTCCCTTCTGCACCTGGTAACTTTAATGAGAACAGAAGGGGCCAGATCTGGCAAGACAGAAGTAAATCACTCAGCTTGCGTAGGTCTTCCCGATTAAAAGAAATACAAACAACGGCTTCAAAGCAGAGAGGTGGTTCACGGAATCAATTCTTCGGCTTTAAGTGCCTTCTGCCGGGCTTACTTTCTCAGTTCAGGCATCGTTTCAGATTGATGAAGACTTTGGCAGTTCTCCCGGTTTCTCTGGCCATTGTCTTGAAAGATTTCTAGGATATCAAGTACGGTTAGTGGATTGCTAACAGGTTCCAGTATTTTACAGTGTGGCTTTGGGTTTTGTTTTTGTCCATTTAAATTCATGTTTGCTGATTTTGCTGTGGCTTTTGACTTGCATTTTTTCCTTTATTCTGTAACCATTTTTCTTCAATAAAAAAGGATTGTTTTTCACAGTCAAGTGTGGTGGATAGTTATCTTAGGGCCTCGTTTCCTGCTCTGGATTGCAACAACGTGCTCCCATGGTGTGGACCTAAGAAGACCCAATTTAGGGTCTTTAACACTTTCACAATTAAATAGGAAATAACACTCCCATGTTCCCCTCACCGATAGCCAGTTGTGCCACTGTGCAACCCAGGCGCTCTGCGATGGGGTGCAGCTCCTTCACTTTGGCCTGCTGCTTCTTCCCGTCTTCGCTCTGCAGCTTCTCCTTCAGCCATTGGTATCCCTAGAAGGGGGTCAACAAACAGGGAGGTTGGGCGGTGGAACAAGCAAACCTTGGCAGACACTTTGCTTTTCTTTGTTTACTTCTACACCCTTCAGGTGGAAGATGCATTCCCGCTTAAGCCTTCGCACTCCATCTTCCATCAATCTGCTTTAGGGGAAGCGGTGGAGGGGGGTGGGGGTGTCTATCCTAGCCCAGAGGCCCCATTACTGCAGGGAATTAGATTGCCAGTCAGGGATAAGCTGTATAGAGTTAATTGTTGTGAATGGATGATGCCGGACTTCGTCAGCAAATGGATTGGTGTGTGTGTCTGCCGGGTACCATCTGTTGCATCACTGACTACCAGTACGGCTTATTTTTAGTGCTAACACGTATTAATGCTCAATACCGATTGGAAGAATTTGGATGGAAGAAAATACATTAATTCTACAGTGTAGAAGTGCAGAAAAATGCAAATATGTGCCTGTTTGGGACATAAACAATGGAGTTTTGGAGCATTTTTCTACCATGATGGAAAAGACCATGCAGAGAGATGCAAATATGGGCCTGTTTCAGACATAATAAATGCAGTTTTGGAGCATTTCTCTCCCATGCCTGGTCAAGACAGTGCAGAGAAAGGCAAATATGTGCCTTTTCGGGACCTAAACAATGGACTTTTGGAGCATTTCTCTCCCATGCCTGGTCAAGACAGTGCAGAGAAAGGCAAATATGTGCCTTTTTGGGACATAACAAATAGAGTTTTGGAGCATTTTTCTACCATGATGGTCAAGACAGTGCAGAGAAAGGCAAATATGCGCCTTTTCGGAACATAAACAATGGAGTTTTGGAGCATTTATCTCCCATGATGGTCAAGACAATGCAGAGAAATGCAAATATGCGCCTGTTCGGGATATAAACAATGGAGTTCTGGTGCATTTCTCTCCCATGCCTGGTCAAGACAGTGCAGAGAAAGGCAATTACGCGCCAGTTCGGGACATAAACAAAGGAGTTTTGGAGCATTTCTCTCCCATGCCTGATCAAGACAGTGCAGAGAAAGGTAAATATGTGCCTTTTTGGGACATAAACAATGGAGTTTTGGAGCATTTCTCTCCCATGCCTGATCAAGACAGGGAAGAGAAATGAAACAATGCACCTATTCGGGACATAAACAATGGCTTTTTGGAGCATTTCTTTCCCAAATCTTCCCCAAAGCTTTAAAAACTTCATAAGATAGGGGCATAGAAGGAAAGATTGTGGACTTCCAAGGACTTCCCGGGGATCAAAGTGTCACTCCAGCAGTTGCCCACCCTATTTAACAGAACTTACTTTCATGGCAGCGCGGCAGTTTTCGGGGACTCTGTCCTCGTATTTCCCGGTAATCAGTCCGCAGGCCAAAGGAGACCAGGTTATGGCTCCCACTCCTAATGGGACAAGCACAAAAAGCAGAATGGGGTTGGGAAGGATGGCTCTTTTTGTCTCTTCCAACCCTATGATTTTATTATCTCTTATTTTGTATGTGCTGCTCTGACTGAGCCGTATAATTTCCACAAGTTATCCTCCATGTGTTCCTCTGCAAGGATCTATTATTCCTTCCATCCTTTCTCTTACCGATTTTGTGGTACAGATCCGGCAGCTGCGTCTCCACTTTCTCCCGCTGGAACATGTGATACTCCGCTTGTTCGCAGACAGGGGGGATGAGGTTGAATTGCCGCGCTACCGAATAGGCCTCCTAAGTTGGAAGAAAGAGGAAAATTAGGAGTGCATGAAATATCTTGTCCGGTAGAGAAATGCTGTATTACATAGAAATGCATTGGATGTGGCTCCAATGGGAAGAAATACAGTTCTAATGGACATGTGTTCACAGTACAGTTCATTGAAAGGGCTAAGAAAGTAGTTATGGGATCCTAGAGCAGGCATGGGCAAACTTTGGCCGTCTAGGTGTTTTGGACTTCAACTCCACAATTCCTAACGGCTAGTAGTCTGTTAGGAATTGTGGGAGTGGAAGTCCAAAACACCTAGAGGGCCAAAGTTTGCCCATGCCTGTCCTAGAGGGAGAGCTGAGCCATTTCCTGTGATCTCTGGAGGAAGGAAAGGGAGATTATAGCTTGCCATGATCTCTCTGCATCTGTAATCCATCACCATCCTCGTTGTGTGTGTTGCTATGTTTGTGAGTATCTCTGTATACTGATAGCAGAGATGTAAATAGTTGTATGAAGCAACGTCTGAAGAATAAAGCTCAGCCAGAGCTCAAGTGCACTTATTCAAGCTGATGAGCTACTATACCAGGTGCTGTATCTCAGCCTGTTCAACCTGTGATTGTGTCTGATGTTGATGATGGGGATGGGGATGATTCCCTGATGGTGGACTTGGGTCTGTTGGCAATGAGGATGAGGGTTTGCCTGGGCCTATGTTAAACTCAGACGAGAGGCCCAAGCTGTCTCAGGAAGATTCATAAGGTCACATTCCTGGGAGAGACCCTTCACAGTCTTTCTCAGAGCAACTGTCTGAAGATGATTTCTCAGGTGCAGAAGTTAATAAAAGTCAAGTTAACGAGAGTGTAGATAGAAACCAAGGCTTTTGTAAGCAGAGACAGAGTGCTCAGACACAAAGAAGATTAGAGGAAATGAGAGAGAAGAAACCTTTATCTAGTGGTATGGTCAAGAGAAATGCTTTCCTTTCGGTTTTGGGATTTGGAAAAGTCTTATATTGATTGGGTTGTTGTAGATCCTCACAACCTCTGAGGATGCCTGCCATAGGAGAGAATGCTTCTAGAACATGGCCATACAGCTGAAAATACCTACAACAACCCAATGATTCCAGCCATGAAAGCCTTCGACAATAGTTGTATTGATTCATGGGAAAGAGTTGCCTCAGTCGGGTCAACGTTGGAATTTCACGATGGTCTTGCTTTCAAGTGTTCTTAGTTTCATGTACTAAGTTTTTGCCAGGCTCCTGATATGTGTATTGGATTTTTCATGTTGCCTTGTTTCATGGATTGTTGTTCCAATGGATCTTATTTTGCCTTGAAACTCATGAGCTATCCTTTGTTTTGGGAACTTTACTGTTTTTACTAATTTTACTGGTTTGCCTACTTATATTCTTCAATAAACTGCTTGCTGATTTTACCAAGCTGGTGTGGTGTTTAAAGTCAGAGGTGTTCCTGCTCTGGTGTATGACACCAGGCCAGAGGCTGTGATATAAAAACTCTGCTAATTGTGACCAGGACTCTGCAGTGTTTTGGGGATCAGAACAAATGGTTTGCTAACTGGTTTGGTGTTTAAGGTCAGAGGTGTTCCTGTTCTGGTGTATGACACCAGGGCATCCACCTTATTGACCAGTCTATCCTTTAACTAGTGTCGCATATTGCCCCCCCCCCCAAAATGAGTCTGTTGTTGCTTATGACGCTTGTTTATTATAGTTATGCTGTTTTAATATGTTATTGTTTTGTTTTTAATTGTATGTTGCCTTGGGCTTGGCCCCATGTAAGCTGTCCCCAGTCCCCTTGGGGAGATGGAGGCAGGGTAGAAAAATAAAGTTGTTCTTCTTCTTCAGGTCAGAGGCTGTGATATAAAAACTCTGCTAACTGTGACCAGGACTCTGCAGTGTTTTGGGGATCAGACAAATGGTTTGCTAACTGGTGTTTAAGGTCAGAGGTGTTCTTGCTCTGGTGTACGACACCAGGTCTGAGGCTGTGATATAAAAACTCTGCTAACTGTGACCAGGACTCTGCAGTGTTCTGGGGATCAGAACGAACGGTTTGCTAACTGGTTTGGTGTTGAAGGTCAGAGGTGTTCCTGCTCTGGTGTATGACACCAGGTCAGAGGCTGTGATATAAAAACTCTGCTAACTGTGACCAGGACTCTGCAGTGTTTTGGGGATCAGAACAAATGGTTTGCTAACTGGTGTTTAAGGTCAGAAGTGTCCCTGCTCTGGTGTACGGCACTAGGTCAGAGGCTGTGATATAAAAACTCTGCTAACCATGACCAGGACTCTGCAGTCTTTTGAGGATCAGAACAAACAGTTTGCTAACTGGTTTGGTGTTGAAGGTCAAAGGTGTTCCTGCTCTGGTGTATTGCACCAGGTCAGAGGCGGTGATATAAAAACTCTGCTAACTGTGACCAGGACTCTGAAGTGTTTTGGGGATCGGAACAAACGGTTTGCTTTGGAGACAGTCTGTCCCATTGCGGAGCTGGAGGATGTCGTGAGAGGAGAAATGCACGTGCCTATCTAGCAGGGGTGTTGTGTGTTTTTACTCCTTCGCGAACATGTTGGTCACATCCAAGCCAATGCCCACAGACTAGCGTTTGGGTGTCAGCATTTACCATGATCTCCATTGCGCTCCACCGAGAGGTTCCCCAATACATAGCCATCCCTTGATTGATCACGTAAGTCATGGCGCGGACGATCTCTGCGGAGGAGAAAAGGAAAGGTGAGCACAGGGATTTGCAGACACACCTCGTTCCCTTGTTTCTCTCTATAGACAGTGTCCGCCCCCATTAATCATTCACCTTTGCTTTAAGAAGCCTGTGACCAGGACTCTGCAGTATTTTGGGGATCGTCAAAGCCAAAACATGGAGAGCTATTTGTATATTGCAATCCTTAGTAAAAGGAGACAGCGAATCTAAATGGTTCAAGGTTTCCATAAAAGCATGACCTAAAGTATTTACAATTTCAAATACTCTTGCTTTCCCTCTCTACCTTCCAACTTGCAAGGCTATGGGGTTTCATATATTGATGGTAAATTCAGAAAAACACACCTAGGGTTGCCAACTTATCTTTTCCCCTTGTTTTCGTGTCTTCAATTGCTCTGATATCTAAGGCATAGCATCAGCTCATCCTGGTAATAAGAGTGGCTTTATCTCCATATTACTTACAACACCATTATTATTATTATTATTATTATTATTATTATTATTATTATTTTAACTGCATATTGCAATCAGTTGGCAACCCTGCATAGCAGAGAGAACAACACACCAAAGCATGCCAACACAACACACGCACATTCAATTTCTTTGCAATTCGGTCCACCATTCACCCTCCGTCCCATTTCTATAGGGTCTATAGGGGTTCTGCTATAGGGCAGGGTCTGGGAAAGTCATAAGGTGACATGTTTTTGGGGGTATATTAAAGGACCAAAGGCACAATCCAGAGAGTAAGTCCCACTCAACACAATGGGCCTTACTTCCAAGAGGCACGTACAGTATAAGATTGTGCCGTTAGGAATGTGAAAGGGCGGCATTACTACATGGGGTTCAAAGGGGGCACAAGGATCCATGGGCCGTTGTCATGGGGAGGATATTATGGGATGCCATTCCAAGGGGAATATGGGGTTCCAGAAAAAAAGGGGGGTGGGCAGTGGCTCTGCATACCTCTCAAGAGGCTGACCTTGGGTGCATCTGCACTGTAGAATTAATGCAGTTTAATACCACTTTAACTGCCATGACTGAGTGCTATCTGTACCCAGGAATTATAGTTTCACGAGGCTAAAGACACTAGCACAAACTCCCAGATCTTCAAAAAATGGTTTTATTACTAAAACTTGTCAAATTCATTTCAACTACTAGTAGTTTGTATATAATCCTTTTGATTACTTATTGTATGTATGTTCTGGTATGCAGCTTTCTTTCCTTTGCTCTATGTTTTTCCTGAGAAGTTGCAGGAGGGGCTGCAGACCACATGATCAGCACTGAGACGAGAACAGAGCTCAGATTCCATGAGGCTCTGAGACTGCTCAGAGTTCAGACTCCATTCTAGAGTCTTCTTAGACTTTGGGACTGCTCAGACCAACACGGGCCGGCTGTTGTGGTAAGAAAGATGCGTTGTGCCATCTGCACACAGAAACTATTCCAAACATATCTTAAACTGGACGGATAAGCTATGAACCTGTGTTATGCCAAACACATAAAGGTTGTGAGTAGATCAATTCCAAACGTATCTGAAACTGGACGGATAAGCTATGTACCTGTGTTATGCCGAACACATGAAGGTTGTGAGTAAACCAAATACGTTATTTTACCAAAACCTAGTGCAGTTTTGTTTCTTGAGTGCATGATATAAGGGCTGGGCTTTAGCACAGCAGGTTAACCACTAGCTGCAAAAAAAAACTTGCCAATCAAAGGGTTGACACTTCAAAGCCCGGGTCAGGGGCAAGCGCCCGACCTTCAGCCCAGCTCACTGTCCACCTAGCAGATCAAAACCAGCTTTTTTCATGTCAGGAGCGAATTGAGTTGCACTGAGGCCGAATTTTTCTGACAATAATAATAATGATAATGATAATAATAATTGGCCACGTTGGTCCATGCTCTGGTTACATCCCGTAAAAACTACTGCGACGCTCTCTGCCCGGAAGCTACAATTAGTCCAACGAGCGGCAGCCAGATTACTAACAGGAGAGAGGTACAGGGAGCATACTACTCCTCTGTTGCGCCATCTCCACTGGCTGCCAGTTAGCTTCCGAGCACAATTCA